CTGGGGTCGTTGTGTTCACTCCCAGGGGAACTACTTCGAGGGTGATGGATGAATTTAATACCTGAGATAAGTGTACGGGTTTTTATACGCGCAGTCTTGAAACCTTTCGATCGCACCTCGTATAAATTACCTTCGGTAAAACCTTACGGGCTGTTCACCCTCAGTTATTTCGTGATTCCTCTGAGATAATCATTTACGTGTTAGTCTCGATAATGTCTTATCTTCGCGGTAGTCTTTAGATAACGCAGCTTAACAACACACGTTCCCAGCGTGACCGTGTTTCTAATTGCCACAAATCTGACGGTAAATTCTCTAGGCCCCTTTGTTTCGACATCGCTGTATGTATGTATGCCGCGTTTCTTGGACAATGCACAAGATTACATGTCTTCTTTAGGTCACTGAAGAACGAGAAAGGATTTTTCCTATCTGCAGCCAAGACCCGGTGACAATAATTCACCTATTTATTATTTTCGTTTCTCGCTGCGATGCCTCAATAGAGCCTGGTCTCAGGTTGCTACTGTTCTTGAAGTTATTTTATGAATTCAGTCGATTCTCCTTATACGAGGTGCGATCAGAAAGTTTCAAGACTGCGCGTATAAAAACCCGTACACTTATCTCAGGTATTAAATTCATCCATCACCCTCGAAGTAGTTCCCCTGGGAGTGAACACAACGATCCCAGCGCCGCTGCCAAGCCTGGAAGCATCCCTGGAAATCTTTCTTTGTCAGCCTGTCAAGCACCATCTGCGATTCTGCCTGAATCTCTTCTATCGTCTCAAATCTCCTTCCCTCAGTAAAATTGTAGGACATGATTTGGCAAAATCAGCAAAGAGCTTCTTTTTAAGTTGGGACTAATCTGAAGACGGAAATATTATGTAGCGCCGAAACGCTGTGACAGCAAATAGTCAAAACTCACCCCACATGCGTCTCTTCCACCCTCCGGGTAGCCGGCGCAGTTCATGCCGGGTTCAACGCTCCCCTCGGTGTAGTTTTCGTAGATGAGCCGGCACCTGTCATGGCGGATGAAGGGTACAGTGACTACCTGAAGCTTTTCCGGCATGATCCCTTCCGAGTATCCGAGGAGTCCCCACCCACTCACCGAGCAGAGGAGAGCCTCAGGAGCGATGTCCTCACGTAGCGGGATTGTACTCACCTCCGGGTTATCCTTGGGGAAGCCAGGACTCACCTGCACGCATACCAGACGCGTCTCAATGCAGGAGTTTTAAATAAAACTTTCACGTTGATTGACGCTGACTCCTCCGATGTGAGAGGTTTCTTTGTATTCTATGAGTAGTGAGCGACCAGCTCACTGCCTCTGTACAATTTCTACTCAAACCTGAATCGCCTGCTAGAGCCATCTAGTAGTGAATCAGGAGAGACTTGTGTGAGAAATGGCCGCTCTATTTTGCTTACAAAACATCTCGTTCACTCTCGTAAGGTTTTTTTTACATGCCGTAAATCTACTACGTTTAAAAGAACCCATTCCCTCCGAGGAAAAAAAAAATTATCAGTTCAGGGCTGTATCGAACACGTGAACCTAAGGTTCGCTGACTACCACTCTAACCATTAGGCCACCGACGTCAACTCATGTAAAGTAATTTTCAGTCCCTTTTAGCTATAAATGTAAGGTTGACCAACATGTGAACCAACTGTTGTGTAGATGAAGCAAGTAAATTAGGAAAAACACGACCGGGAATGCAGCAATAGGAGACAACAATTATTGTTGTCCAATCATTGGACCCAAGCAGAAGGAAGTAGATAAATGACTGAAATAATTACACAAAGATTTTTGTACATAAGAATAAAACATGTCGAGACTAGTGTAATATCTTGTATGGCAACGTCCTGTTTCTTGTGTTGGTAACCGTGCATCGTCATGCTAATATATTCCGCTAGGTGATGTAAGGTGTCGACTGTAATGATAAGTTTGTGTGTTGTGAACAAATGTTTGTTTGTTTTTCTACGTGGAAATTAATTTAATGCTCTATTCAAGGATCACTTATTCAGCGAGTGTTGGTATTTAATGACAATTGAAATGTTGCTATGCTTATGGATTATTTCAGCACATCGAAACAAATTTTGGAATCAGCTGAACCACATGTTTGAGGTAGGTAGCAACTTTTGCTTCAAAACATACAAATGACACTCTGCGAGAGAGAATTTGATAGTACTCAATGAGACATTGTCTCACTGAGTATCAATCAATACTGCAAATAATTTTTAATCACAAATACAATTATTTTAGATATTATTAACAGTATGTAGAAATATATATGCATGAAAAATATGATTATAAGTGAATATGAAACCTTTTTCCAGCTTGATCATTTTGAAGCCCTACACCAATACTTTAAAAGTGGAAAGACAAGTTGGAAGGTAAAGATCAAAGTATTTTACTTTGTTTCAAAGGATAATTTTACCATTATAATAGCAGCTGATACAGAAGGGGTCCCTTTTAAAGCTTTGCACTGGCATTTCAAGAGAAATATATCAAATCCAAGCCAAGACATTAAGCTAAAACTTCTTAAATAAACTATTTTCCATCCAGAGGAATTGTTTGATTAAACCTTTGAAATATTTGTGATCACAGGTTATTGGAAAAAAATTTATTCAGTTTTTTATGTGATACAATCACTAAATTGTGGTAAAAGTAATTTTGAAACAGATTTTATCAGCAGTTATGTCCACTCTTTTTGACCTGAAATCAAAGTACTTTGTGTCTAGTACATTAGTACATATTTCTGGAACAGTTCTAATATATTATATGAAAATTAATAATTAATAAACTGCTTAATATCCTACATTAATTCTACTGCTGATAGTTGAAATATGTGGTAACTGAATTCCCATTGGTTGTTTTCGAACAAAATCTAATGGGCAGTGTTTTCAAAGAAGCTGTAACGAGAACTTTTGAAAAGGTTTCAGAGATTCAAAAACAGCCATATAAGATTACTATTAAAATTCTGAAACAAAATTTTTACCACAAATATTCTTGGGACATTAAGGTTTAAAATACACCCGAATTATATCTGTAAATTTATATCTATTTATAATTTGTTTAACGAAGCATTTTAAATATTATAGCGTCGAATTAGGGGATTACAGCGGATAACTCGAAACATCTCCTGTGACCGGGTGTCCAAAATTATCGACTCCACCGGCGAAAGATATTCTGAAAGATACGTAATGCCTAATTCTCCAAAAATTTCTTTTGTTAATGAACCCGATATTGCTCAAATTTCCCCGTAGGCCATTTTAAGTGAAGGGTAAAGTGTTTATTGGGTGCACTCGTTTTCAATTTAAATTCGATCGTCCTTATTTTAATTTTTTTTAAAGATTTTTTTAATTATTATTCACTAAATTACTTTAGTTGGCCAAGACCTTGCCGTGTTTCTTATGATTGTATTTTCTACACAATATTTTTAACAAATTACGATCTAATATTATTACCAATAAATATTCTATCGTAACAAATTTTAATGTTCCGTTTGTACATCACACAAGGCACGCAGTCAGATGAATGAGAATTGTTTGAACTCGTCTCGCTGTGTTAACGTAGTTCGCTTTTCAACATATATATAATTAATTTGGGTCTAAATGTGTGTAGCTGTTACAGAATCTCTAATAATAACTGAGGGAAAGAAATTTTCTGTCGATCTCCCTAAATTTGAAAGTTGCTGATTAGAATTTTGTCGTAAAAAGCGAAGTTTGTGATTGTCTGAGAATATATTGAATGAGCTGCGGACAACCGACAAGGGTTGATCTTCCAGTTTTGGGGTTTGGAGTTGTTCTAACAACTGCTCACCGTCTGGGCCTAGGAGTTTGTGGGTGGGGCCAGAATTTCCCTGGCTCCGGAAGGGGACAAATCCCGGCTGTTGTGTACAAGGTCATGAACCTTCTGGTACCATAAGAGTCATGGATTATTTTGACTAGCTGAGCGTAATATTGGTTTCTCAACACAGAACGTGATCCGTCGAGTTATATATTCAATTTGCAACACTTCTTACAACTCCCGCTTATAAATGGCCTGTGTTTACATACGGGATGCTGAATATTTAGCAAAACTACATACCTTTAAGATGGCTATGTCGTTATGGTACTTTTCGTAATCAAATCCCTCGTGAAGGAAAGCGTGAGTAACTCTTTGGACGACCTTGCTGGCTTCTGGAGACTGCCAGGTGTTGTTCAGAACCCCGGAGTACACTATTAACTCGGCAGTGTCCAGCCTGAATACAAAAATTTTGACCAGAGGTTAACGCAGATAAAAGTAAGAAACTGTCTTATTCACGTCACTAAATATAGGACAAAACCACAGATAATAACTTCAAAGAAAACGTGACTTTTTTTTACATATTTTGGGCGGACAGTACCAAATCAAAATTTGATTCAGTAATAAATTAAGGGCAGATTTAATTACGAAAATATTTGTACCATCGATCTCAGATATTTGACTCATGTCTACTTTATTGGAAATCTTGAAGGGGCATGTAGCCGTAAATGGGAGGATAATATTAAAGTTGATATGAAGGACAAAGTGTATGTTTCCTCTTTCCACTTGCAAACTCTTGTGGGGTTAGGTTGAATTAAAAGCGACAAGCTGTTTGTCAGGGCGAAGTATTACAAGCGTCTCAAGATCGAAGAAGGCTGTCCTCTGGGTTTTAGCGCGATGTAGTCCGATAGATATTTTACCGATGTTTCAGAGGTCCTTGCTGCCTCCATAATCAGCACCAAGGACCTCTGAATTGCTAGTAAACTTCTACTAGACTACACGGAAATCTTCGGACTCACCGCTTTGAGAAACTCAAATTTTACTTATCTCCAGATTGATTCTCTTTCAGCTTAAACAGGAGATGGTTTATGTTAAAATTAGGCGTAAACATAGTTTTAACGGAAAGATCTCAATATTTATAATTATATATATTATAATTTATATATGTGCATGGTTCTGTTAAAATATTATCGGAATTTCACTATTAGATATACTCTCCAGAATTTCTGTGGAAGAAAATATCCATTTTAATAATATACAGGCTGCCCCCGCAACAGAAAGTCCATAGGATTGTCATCCGTGAAATACAAATATAGTTCATTAGCGCATTCCCTTGGGAATTTTAAATTTTCACGTAAACCAAAAACCTGTTCACTTGAAACGTGTTTATTAAAAATAATAATGCAATAAATTGTCGTATGATACATCTGATACGATTAACCTCTTCGGTCGTATTACACATAAAACAATATCTGACTTCAGAATCCACTAGAAAATTTATTTTATCCTCTGAATTGGGTTTTTTTGGACTCTCTGTCCATAGACTGATTTTATAACCAACCAGATGGCTTATAAAACCCGAAGGTTCATCACCGAATTAACCAAAGCCCTCCACCGGACCCTGTCCTGGGCCAACAAAATCCAGTCTCCTTCAACTCCTATCTCCCATAGATCCCGCCTGAGATTAACCTCCCATCTACGTCTAGGTTTCTCCAGCGGTCTCTTCCCCTCAGGCTTCCACGATTAACCTCTTCGGACGTATTACACATAAAACAATATCTGACTTCAGAATTCACTAGGAAATTTATTTTATCCTCTGAATTGGGGTGTTTTGGACTCTCTGTCCATAGACTGATTTTATAAATGAAAAAAGTCCACACAGTGTCATATCACGTAAGACCAATATCCACATCTTCACCAACGTCAGATATTAAAATTCCTTTAAAATGTTACGGTGTGTTTAGATTAATTATTAGCTTTAACTTCGGTTTACGCCGGGATTAGGTTCCTGAGATTTCCGGCGTAAAATTAAGCGGCGTAAATTGAAGTAAACATATGATGGGATCATATGTAAATACATTGGGTTCCGTTCCAATTTTTTTCAGTAATCAACACAAAATACTTGAAAAATGTTTTATTTTATGAAATTTACGTAATGAAAATTGTATGATGTTTAAGAAAAAAAGAAAATTTACTGCTTTAAATAAGATAGAATAGATGTCTGTTTAGTTTTCTTTTTTCTGACAATAAATTAGTGTTGAGTTCCACTCCCAGTTGTTGTCGTTGCTACAGAAGATCTCACATCCCTTATTAATAAGAGCATTAACCTTAACCTTTTTGCGTTCTGTTCTCTAGACACCAGTGCATGTTTGTCAGTTCACTTGCAGTTCTTAATCCATGGTTAATGTAATTTGTTTTTTCTCGTCGCATTTTAAATTCCGTTTCTTGTTTAATTATTTAAATTTTAGGCCGTAATTTATCATTTAGTATTATAGTTTTATTACAATGTCGGTACCATCCGTGTCTAGGAAGTCTGACAGAGTCATGACTCATCACCGCCTCCAATCTCGATCTATGAGAGGCGTAAAAGTGAATCTGGCGTAAATTGAAGCGGCGTAAACCGAGTCTTACCTATATATGGGTCCTGTGTTAATCTTTTATATTATCCATTGTATTAATGAGGTTTTCTAGACTTTTTTTTTCAAAAGAAGGAAAATAATTCGCCCAAAGTGTCCGAAAATTCTACTCAAATAACGAACGTCTTGTTTAAAATTACATTTATATATTTCTATGTATTCCACTCATAATACAAAGTCGTGGTCACACATAATGGTTACCTCCTGCATTAAGCGGTTAGAAATAAAGGAAACAGTTGGCTCATGAATGTTAAATGTGACTGGTGTAAGGTTTCTCTCACCCATAAACGCAGTGTCCAGCAGTGAGCACGTGTTCGCCGTCTATAATAGCTCCGCCACACCAGTGATACGAACCATTTCCAAAATAAAACTTCCTCTGTATTGTTACCTGAAAATGATTACAGTCTTTTAGAATTTCTTATGCACTTATTTGAACTCAGAATCATAGAGACTGAAAACTCTCGCATCTCAGTCTTGATATTGTTATATTTGTCAAAAAAAGATTAACTGAAACTTTAAAATTACAATTAGATAATACAAATTGCTGGAAATGACTGCCTCTTTCAGTGATGCAAGAATTCTCACTCTTTATCGTGTTTGATGCAACCCAGTGAAGATTTTCTGTAGTGACCGTAAACGGTTCACCAGACGAGATATTATTCAAATCTAAAACTTCTTGACGATGGTGAAGAGTCAGTTGAATAAAAATTTACTTAGCAAATTTAATTTTCCACTTTCCTGAAATTATGAAATGTATGACTGAGTTGGTCATGAAATCATAAAGAACATCAATGTCTTAACGGGTGCTCTAGAACTCACACTCCTGCTTTGAACAGTGTAAAAAAAAGTGTAATTTTTTTCATCAGCTTATTTTGAAATTATCCAAGACTCAATCACGTAAAGAGAGTTTTTATCTCGGTTCGAAAAATTGCGTGAAACAGCATAACAATCAAATAACGGCTATCAGTAAATCAATGCCATATAACCTCTGTACTTCAGGCAAAGTCGTCAAATAAACTAACACTATAAAGAGTGCGGAAATCTTTCATGAGCCACTAAAGAAAAATGTCTTGAATATCCAGATACTCAATTGAATAAAAATTTACTTGGATATTATCCATCGTCTAGTAATAAAACGTAAAAAACGTAAAACGACGTTTCGGAGATGGGGCTCTATCTCCGTCTTCAGGTTCCTACTCAGTTGGGCCCACTAGATAGAGCTAATCCCTATCTCCGGACCATCTCCGAAACGTCGTTTTACGTTTTTTACGTTTTATTACTAGACGATGGATAATATCCAAGTAAATTTTTATTCAATTGAGATATTATTCATTTGTAACATTTGTAACCCAGCCTTCCATCCAATGGGTCCTTTCCCGGGGTTAAATCGCGTCCGGGGGTGTGACGCTGACCACTCACCCCCCATCTAGTGTCGATGTCAAGAATGAGTAGGAGCTATCCCTCCTCTCCTCCCAAGCGCGTACATGGCGTGTAGCGAGACAGATTTTTATTTACGTCGGTACGAAGGAAGGCAATTCATAATCACCGCATCTCAGTCACAAGACTCACCTGATACGGGATTTCCCCTGGTCGAGCATCGCGGCCTCCCACCACTCTTGGTTTAGACACGAAGGCTTGAATATTCTGATGGGCGTCATCTTTCGCTGTGGAGCACAAACAGATCTTTCTCAAATATGCTTCATATAAGAGGCTCGTCATTTGCCAATAAAATCACGAGTTTAGGTTTTTGTTTCATATATTGCTTACCAAAAATTTTCAATTTCTCCTTTGTTAGGCGTTGATTTCATACTTATCTCCTTCTGTACATTAATATTATTCCATCTATTCACCATTTTATAGGGTTTTTACTTCTACGTACCCGAGACAGACCTTGTCCCTAGGGAACATAGGGCAACAGCTATTTCCGGGATACATTGTTTTTAATACGTGTTACATGTATTATATAATTTTATTTTACGAAAGCGTCTTCCGAATGATGTATGAAGATCCTAAAATGGCGGTCTTCTGAAGTTCCCTGATGTCGTGTTCGCCCGGGATGTTGGCCAAATATTTCCTGAGTGACCTGGAGACAGTTCCAGTTGCTACTGTAATTATTGGGATTAATTTTGCTTGAACGTTCCACATTCTCTGTATTTCTATGAGAACGTCCTTCTATTTCAAGATCCTCTCCGATTCCTTCTTAATTAAATTTCTGTCAGTTGGTATTTGCTATATTAATTAAGAGGCAAGTTCCATTTTTGTTTCGGATTATAATATTTGGTTTATTATTTGTGAAGGTTCTATCTGTTCTGACTTGTTTGTTCCACAAAATAGTTATTTGGCTATCTTGAATTCTCTCCTCTGCTTTCGGGATGTGTTCATACAAATGTTTCTCTTCTAGATTTATCCCAGCTTTCCTGCATATGTTGAAATATAACTGAGTACACACACGATCATGTAGTTATTTATTATTATTATTAAATATATTGTTTTTATTATGTGGTCTCGACTAAACCAGTAAGTGAATTCGCTGGCTAGGGACCGAAAATCAAGATTTTATTTGTCGGACAATGTTTTTATTAGCCATTAAGTCGGATTGAGTGCTCCAATCGTTTGGATCGTGAAGC